AGACTCGCATGGTAGTACACCATTTATCACGGAAGTGGGACTTTTGTGTTATAAAACGTTGATGTTTCGATATAGTTGTGTGGCGGAAATAAATCATCGTATTATGACTCGAGTTTTACAAGGATGTGACGTCACTTTTCATGGATGATATCAGGGTTCATCCAGGATTATACAAGAACAAGAATGAAGCAGGTTCTGAAAACATTTAGAGAAAGGGAGCTTACTCCGAATAGAACAAAATGCAAAATTCGAGATGGTATATATGGAACACCACATCTCAGAAAAAGGCATCAAACTTCGGAAACTAGTCAAGAAACGATACAACTTCGTCGACCGAAGAACATGGAAGAAGTAAGTTTTTACGGGGCTTATCAATTTTTCGGGACGTTTCATTACCCGATTTGTCTTCTAGGAGTGAACCTTTACATGAATTGACGAGAACGAACGGTGTATTGAGATGGAAAAGCCAAGAGGATGCATTTCAGGGCTTGAAGGTGTGATACGACCAGAAGATTTAGGACTTTATGCCAAGAATACAGAAACTAAAGTGAACGCAGACGCAAGTCCTGTAGTTTTGTCCAAATACTAAAAAGGACAGTCTCGTGGAATTCGATACGCGAGTCGGACATTATCTGATGTTGAAAGGTGACATTCCCAAACCGAAAAGGAAGTCTAGGCTTTGGTTTTGGCATGTGAGAAGTTTCATTCATATCTTTACGGAAAGGATTTTGAACTTTTAATAGATCACAAACAACTTGAACCAAATTTTTCGTCCAAAATCAACCTCAAATCAACGCGTTCCTCTAAGGTGTGTGAAGCCTATTTTCATCCTGACGACACCCCAAGAGCTGTTGAGTGCTGCGACGAAAACGGGAACAGACTGAAGACTTCTTGGGGGAAAATAAAACTGAACAACGGTGCAATACCGCCAATACTTCCCAACTGCCCTATGTATTTATCATCGTACTCAACTGCGAGGTAAAGTGGTAAACAAAGACGCGAAGGAATTGAAAAAAAGGACTTGCAACTTGCAATGGCGAAAACTCTATCCACTGATAAAGAGTTTAAGAAAAAAACTTTTTCGATAATTTCACCGAATGGAAGGTTACACGTGAACATGAAAGTGTATGAATGTGATAATTTGTTTATAATATGATATAATGTGTTCGACAGTAAATATTGTTTTATAAAATAATGATTAAATATGAAAAGTTTTTCATTAAAAGAACAGAATTCATTATTGCAATACTGCAATACGTTAAAATTTCATTGTTCTTATTTTAAAATGTTTACAAGATCAAGCTATAAATATAAATTTCACCAGTATATTCTATCAGCCATAATTTCGTACAAGTGCTGAATTTAAGTATTATAAAGATGATTTCAAATAGGAGCATAATGCATACGGGTTAAATAATATTGTAAATGTTATTAAAACTGAGCTGGCTAATATAAATTCGAAATATAGCGTTATTAGATAAAGATAGAATTTTGATTAATATTTAATAGAATTGAAAGATACGAGTATTTCAATATTTATTATCCATAGACTTGGGATTTTTCAGCTCTACTTATAAAACAACTGATGTTTTGTCATTTGCTTTTGGTAGTTAAAAAAGTATTCTGATTGACGAATATATTTCACTTCATTGAAATCTAATAATTTAATCCTTACCTTTCCTTCACCTTATTGATTTGCTTACTTTCATTAATTACATTGTTGAACTTAACCTACAATTAAAAGTTGCATCAAAAATCAAACTTGTATTTCATCTTCAAACTGTATGTATTCCAATAGAAATTTTGGGACTGTAATTTTGTTGACTAGTGCTATCATTCATGTTTTAGTAAATTCTTTCAACAATAACAAAGTGAATGTTTGAATATCGTTGGCTGTATCTAGTTATTTAATATCGCCCGTAAGAATGTAATATCCGCTCCAAAAGGTCTTGTCATTGATAAAAAAAAAAAAAAATTTGTGCTCAAGACGTGTATGTTTTCTTCAATCCACACTTCGTTATATTTGAATATTCCTCTCCAGCAGGGCAGTCTTACAGTCGGCAGTGGTCTACGTGTGCTGACGTCGCAGATCCAGTTATGAGGCCTGAAGTATTAGTAGGTATTGCCCTGGCCCGTTCGCGGGCTGTCACCCCAAGAACAGACAGACAGTGCTGCAAATACTGTAACAGTTAAATTTATTCCAGTTTGTTTCTTAGTAAGAAATGATTGCTGGTCTGACCATCTAAATGATGTTGTGGTTTCAGTGGTATAACATATTCATTACGTTAACATATAGTACTTCAGCATATGGGTCTGTTGTACCAAAGTTTGCAGGTTCGTACATGATTTTTTAGGGCAAAAAAAATCCTTCGTACGCCTTCCTTCGGGGGGAGGGGGGAGTACAGTTGGGTGCCCCATGCTGTAGATTTACAGTATTAAAAGATACTCAACCCTAAGAGAAGCCACTGAGATAATTTTAAAATCGGCAGTTTTGTCACCCAAGTAATACCTCCTTTCTCTGCTAGATAGTGAAAGGACCATAGCGAAATTGTGTGGTCAAATAGAAGAACAGACCTAATGGTCTGAGTCTCACCACGTAAAATAAAACATTGAATGAAGGCTGTCTGCAAGAATCGAGATGTGGGTATTGAGGCTGCAAACTTACATGTTTAAAGTTGTATACAAAAAAAAGGGAAATCTAATATAGCAGATCCGTTGTCATGATTATTGGGAACACAGAGTTAGTTCCTTAAAGAGACTTCCTTCTTTGAAGGACAAATACGCAGAACAGGAGAATTGTTCAAACAGGATATACAATTGCAACAGTTACAAGAGTGTATGGAGGCAGAGGCTTGGATTTCGGAAATGAAGTATGAGCTCACAGTATGAGTTAACTATAGTTGAAAGACTTCTTGTAAGAGACACACAATCATCATACATCATAGCACATGAAACACATTGGGTATTGTCAGGATGAAACAACTACGTCAGACAAAGGTTTGATGGAAACCAATAGATAAAGATGCTGAAAAGTAGGTGAACAGTTGCCATAGGTGTCTGCTTCCAGATCCTCCATGACTAAAAATATCTTCAATAATCAAAATATCTATTAGAAACTCACAAAGACTCCAGTCCATTAAGATCAACCAGGGAATATCAATTTTGAAGAAAATCAGCTAAACTTTTAGGTACAGACGGACAGACTAACGATTTCAATTGATGTTTCGGTATAAAGAATCAACAAAACATGGATTCTGACTACACCACAAGTTAAACGATTTTTTCCTCTAAATTTAGTAAGAGGATTAATTCACTTTTTAGTTACGAGAGCCCGACAAGTAAAATTTTTTTGGCTAAATTTGGCTGCTTTCTGGAGCACGATTACATAACTAACTTGCTTCTTATGACGAATTCATAAGGCGAGAAAGGGAAAAACAATCCAAGCTCATGTGACCGAACAGACAGTACCAGTCTCGCCATCATCCAGTTTTACTCAAAACTGGTGAAAGTGCAGTGAATAACCAACAAATTCTCCGCCGTTAACAGAGGTGTGCAAGTGGTTCATCACCATCAGCCACGATTCTTAGAGGGGCAAACAATGTACACAATGAGCAATGGAGAGAAATTTTTAGATGTACACAATGAACAATGAGGCGATTGGTTTAGACAGGCAAATAGACATATACAATGAACAGTGAAACGAATGGTTTAGAAGGGCAAACACATACACAATTAGCAGTGGAGTGGAAGATTTTGAGCTGTATTCAACTATTAGAAAGCAAGCAGTGGAGCAGAAGGTTTTGAGCTGTATTTACAAATTAGAAGATAGCAGTGCCCCCTCCGATTTGACAATTGTTGAATGTGGAAGTAGAGCACCAACAGACAATTTTCCCATTAATTTACCTCTGAAATTGGAATTTCACATCCATCCTAATAGTATCGAAAGATCTTCAGAACCCCACTCTTAGAAGATAAAACAGGTTCTGTTGCAATTCAAGCAAGATGTATTTGGTCACCCGCCGTACTACCCGTGCCAAACAGTAAGTCTTGCTTAGGTTAATGGAAAAATAAATCTCATTGAGTACAGACTGTGGTCAACAGCTCATTGGCAAAACAGAGCATGGTACACATGGTGTACAAAAACTCATTTTAAAGTACAAAGAGTAAATATAAAGAAAAAATGACTATGTGGGAAAATTACCATAATATATTGATATTCACATTATTTTTTTCTTTTGTTGTCACATTACTTTTTTCCTCATGTAGCGAAATTTGTAATTGGGCAAACTTGCAACTTGTTATGTCACAATATGCAGGATATGACAGACCATGTAATTAGAGCATTAATGTGATCTTTCATAAAATTCTACCAGACGCATTTACAAAATTAATATGACAACTGAAGCAAGAACTTGGAATCACCCAACAGATTTTCAAGGCAAAGCATAAATACACATTTCTCAGTAATGACAAAGTACCATACAGAGTTGCAGAGCTGAATTTATGAATTGGTTTGAAAATAATAAAATTGAAACTTCTGTAATATTAAATATTTCACCTTAGATTTGTACTAAATTTATCAACTTCAGCATAGACTAGTTACATTCTGTAAATAACACATTTTAACATGTTATGAATGACTTCCTTGAATACTATTATTCCTGTATAAATAAATGTATTGCAAATAGACACACGTACACTAAAATAGCACTTCCAGCGAACATTAAGAGTACAAATACATATTTACACCTTCGCTCAATGCCTAAGCAGCAAATAATTAACAAAAATCTATTGTCGTAATAAATAGAAGGCACAAACTACACAGTACAAATAATACAGAATATTTTTCATTTTCATACACAAGTCTCCAAAATGTCTGCAAATAAATTTTTTCCCCTTACAGTTAGTGTTGAATCAAATTGTAACCCGATCATCTAGTTATACTACCCGTAACAATATATACAATTACATAAGTGTTCACTACAAAAATAAATAATTACTTTTATTTGGACTGCTTTCACGCCCCCATTGTTCGGACTTCCTCCAGAGAAATTTGGGGAAACTGTTATTTTACCAGCAGATTTCAGGTCTTCTGCAGTGGCAGGCACTAACATCTGTTAACAGGCAATGTGACAAAATACTCTGAATAGCTGAAACATTAATAAACAGTATGTTAATAAAAGTGGATTTACACATTTTGAGATTTCTAAAACAGGACGTGTGTTTGTATAAAATGAAAAAAACCTAATATAAAAAATATATTTCAGTGTCAAAAATAGTTTCATTATTCATTGTTAAATAAAATTAAGCAATTTACTATTTACAAATGTGAACACTTTATATTTTTGTTATAAAAACATATTAAAAGTAATATTTACTTATAATCTTTTTTGTTGACTATTTTTTCAAGGTATCACAGTTGCAAATTTTGGGTGCCTTTATGAGAATAATAATGTCAAAGAGAGTTACATGTATAACATATGTAGTATACAGAAAGTTCCAAAATAAATGTTACAAACTTCTAGGGCAAGTAGAGGGGGAAGGGATGATAACTTTTGGTCAATGAAAGAGTTGTGAAAAATCTTGTACAACAAAGTTACACATATGTAATTTTGAATATTGCAGCCCTGGTAGGTGCCTGCACTGGTGTTTGGCAGGATCACGTTCCGGCACAGTCAAAGATTTTCTTATAGTTGTATTTTACTACACAGAAACGCTATGATTAATGTTAACACTAAAATTTTAATTTTCTTAAAACCTGCCACTTTTTAACTGAATTAATTGTATTCAGTAAATCCCTCTGCAAATGTAAACACAGCAAAATATCCACTTTCCAGGTTAATTTTTCAAGACCAAATTATGAAACTGGAATGAAGTTTCTCTTCTTCCAAATTTTCCTTCCTCTTTCTTAGCAAATTAAAATACCTTTGAAATATAGAGGAAGGTATTATCAGAGAAGAAAGACGTACAGTACTTTTGCAACAAAACACTTCATATACGTGTTACATGATTCCACATATTATAGAATAGAATCAAAATAATCCATAATTATTCAAATTACAACTAACATCTCGAATGACATCAATTATACATATAAATTGATATACTAGAGAAAAAACACCCACACACTTCACAGAGACATTACAGAACTTAAACAATCAGCCATAAATATTTGCAATACATATTGGTTTACTAAAAGAAATATTTTGACATAAAGGTAACAGAATTTAATTGAACTCCCACATATTCACAACTGTGCATTCAACAAAGGTGCAACAACAACACTACAAGAGATCACGTTGCTCTTTTAGAGTAAAATTATTTGACCACTAAAATATATAATATATAACTATTCTCTAAATTTGGTGGATCTGTGCATTTCAGCTTAGGCATAAAATAAAACCACTGGAGCTACAGTGTTTCTGCAACAACTAATTAAGAGTTACTTTATAAAAGTAGTCCATGTTTTAAAGAGTACATATTGTATTCATCTTCATGCACAAATTGAATTTCAATGAACTAAAATTAAAGATATTCACAAACACTATTTGAAGGGTTGGAGGAAGTTAAGTGTTAACCTACAACTTCAATTTTTATCAGCCAAAGAAAAAACAAAAGTTTTTGTAAATTCAGACGTGTCTTAGTTTCTGAATACACTTCTTGCTGCTTTCTATACACATACTTTCTATGAACAAGTATGCACAGTATTTCAAAAGTAGTTTGGTTTTAGGAGACAAGATCGTTATTTTAGATTCACAAAGTGAGTTAGCACATCTTCCCCTGAATCCTTCATTTCATTTATCAAATTATTTTTTGAAATTTTACTAACTTGTTTATTGTTGGCAGCAGCCATGACCTTAACCAGGACAGGAATACCTCTAGCTGGCTTCAAAAGCGCGAAAGGTGTTTGACCACCTCGTCTGGCTGCAGTCATGGCTCTAGTGTTTATAGGATCAATGATTACTCCAGCACTAGGATCCTGCAACATTAACAAGAAATATAAGACAGATATTTTTATTTTATTTTATGGTAACAGGAAATAAATGCTGAAGAACTAATTATATACGCTCTGTAAAACACATACAGAAAAAATATCCAAAACATCTTGTTCTTACTCCATTCACCCAATCAGCAATGATTTCACCATATTACGAAGACCCCTCAGTCAATTATACATCAACATAAATACAGACTTTTTGGTTAAATTATCAATTTTGTCATTCACCTATCATCTAATGTTTGGGTATCTGTCATGTCAGTCAAAACTAACAATAAAACCATAACTATAATAATATAGTCGAGATAATTTCAAACCTACAGGCACATTTACTAGAAAAGAGAGCAGGTGTATGTAAAAATAAAAATTAGTTACAATAAAAATTCCCTTTTACACCTTTTCAAGGGCCTGAGAAAAAAATGGTTGTAAATTGCAGAAATGTATAATGGCAACAAATGACTTAAATAAAAAGAAATACAGAACATTAATTCTTTGTTTCTTAATAATAACCTTTAATCAACTAATGGAACTACAATAGCACATACTCTCACTGTAGTTATAGGAACATGATCAAACAATTTTGAACTTTGAATTTCCAATAATTCAGACAGTTCAACAAAAATGGAGTCTGGGCAATTTTTTTTATCCTTTGCTCTATCCCAGAAAAAAGAATTGAAAAAAATTGAAGCTATATTTGAAAATTTTGTTCAGGTTTCATGCAAAGTACCCCTCAAAAAATCAAAATCTGTTTTAAACTTCTAGGGCTTCGAGTTGGACCAGATCAACTAGGAAATATCAATTTTGGAGAAATTCATCTGAACAGTAACACAGATGTTTTGTTGTCAAGCAATTTTTCAATATCACAGACGCACAAAACGGATTCCAACCATACAAAGTATTTGAAGACTTTATGTACTACGTATAGGAACAAAAATTACCAACTTTTTCGATATCAGAGCCACACAATACAAATATTCAAATTTGATTACTTGAAACTTTTGATCACAATAAGGATTCAATTTTGCATGTAGAGAAAATTATGCGACTTTCAAGTCAAGGCAGGAAAATGTAAATTCCAGGAATGTAAAAGTGGGGTTTTACTGTTTCTAATTTTTTTCTTAGGCATCCAGATTTGAAAATATTGATTGTCATTCAGATAACATCTCAAAAATACATCATTTAAAGGCTAAATGGGGAGGAATTCTGTTAATGCATCTGTGCAAATGATTTTATGTCCACCTCCGGACAAAGGACTAATTTTCCCGGTGGTCAGTACAAAATCTAATCAATATTACAAAAACAACAGATGACCAATTCTTCACACAAAGTAATGTTTTCATATCTTTTCCAGACTAGTCAGTGATCCAGGAATTGCAATTGCAATGCGTTGCAGCTGGTTGATAAGTAGCTGGGCTCATTAAAATCACAGAGATGACATTCCTGTGCCCTACTTTTCACCTGGACTTTCTCAAACACTGCTCATACCATTAAATTAAACTCAACAAACCATGACAGGAATATACACGTGTTTAACAATTTACAATAATGTTCACATGTACTCACAAACGCACAACATGCATGCTCACATTAGAAATATTATTATGTACTATGACACACCTGCAAAAACATCACATTTAGAATATTTTGAACATTATTCAACATTCATCTGATGCACATAAAAGACATATGGTAAAAGAAATATTGTCACAATAATAATGACTGACATGTTCCTGAATTTCAAATATGGTTATTTTGTAGGCATATTGTACATTTTCCTCTTTAAAACAAATAAACTAAACACTTGGGCATTTTTATGTTTCTGAAGTCACTGAATATTCCTTTCACTGTCACTGATTTAGGAAATTTAACAAAAGCAATGATGTACCTTTTGCTGGTTCCCCTGTCCGAATATTCTTTCTCTGTTTTCAGGAGGACAGCCTGATGTTATTAAATTATTAATATCAGCCAAAGTTCTGTCCCCATTAGGTAGATGAATAATTCGTAAATTTTTCCTGTAAACATTTACATGTGATGAGAGTTTGTTGAATATTGACAAGAGAATGGTGTAAATAATTACTTAATTCAAATTTTGGAAAAATACAAACTAAAAAGACTAAAACACAATACACTACTTTTTGCCTATATCTTTACTTCCTCAATTATATAAGAAACAAACTTTTTGTTTTATTTTCACAAACAGATGGTAAAGGTCATTCCAAGATATAAATGTATGTCCATGCACTGAAGTAATACAAAAAAGGATTATTGTAGTCACTCCATTAAATAAAGAAATCTTGAAACACTCTTTGGCTCATTTCATAATGATATGGCTTTCCATTCAAGTTTCTCTTTCTGTGAAATTTAATCCAGGTCCTCAGCCATGAAACCAATAAATTCCCTTTCTTGTACTAGTTGAAGCCAATCTGAATAATTATGTAAACTTATAGTTTACAAAATAGAAATCAAACAAAAAAAAATATCACATAAAATCCTACTCTTCCCGTCGTTTTTGTTTTCTTGAAACAATGTCCTTGAAGTTATTTGGATCCATTTCTTGTATACGCATCCCTCCTCGATATTTAATGCCATGTTTGTATTCTTCATGAGATCTAAGAGCATATTTCCGAGGAAATTCTATATGACATATTGAACACATGAAGTGTGTTTTGTTTCCATGGGAATGTGCCTGCAAACAATTAAAAAATAAATGTAAAACATATATCCAAGGTAAATATATCTAGCCGATTTAAGTTTAAAATGAAATTACTTTAAACAATTTGAATTCAATTACAATTTGCAACCTTTCTTTTTTTCATCTTCCAGCATTTCAAGAATATAACATGTGAAGACAATTTACTAAAATACCATGGGACATCAAAACAAGAGAATCAATCACAGTAAAATACATATGGTTTTCCACCCACACTCTAGAAATACAGTAAATTTATTAAGCTATGTGTCCTGGTGATTGGCTCTAAAAAAATGAGTGCAGTAAACAAATGTAACTAGAAACAACAGTTGCCCGGACTGAAGATACATCAATATCATTTGTGAACATATTTCAGAACCACTTAGGGGAAATCTCTTACCTTGTGACACATTAAATTGGACATTTGATTGAATCCTTTGCCACAAATGTCGCATTTATAAGGCCGCTCATTGGTGTGAGTAAAAATATGGTTTCTTAGATTGCCTTTAAAAATAAAATAACAAAAATTGATAAACATATTGCATTATATTTGAATAAAATGAGTATGGTTTGAGCTCAGATACCATAATAGCAAACAATAACTGCTGAGTAGAGCTAATAATTTCGATATTATATCTTTTCACTATTTTCTATGGTGAAACAAACATTTTTTTTCTCTCTTTAATTTGCAACATTTCACCAAATAAAAATACATTAGTTTCCTCACATTTTAAGAATTACTTGCTACAAAGCAGCGAGAGCAAGCAAGTTACTGTCACAAACAACTGATTGGGAGCAGGCAAAATTGCAAATTGAACAAAATTAATTCTTTTAAAATGTTCTATAAACATACAAATATACTCGAGTACAGTCTTTTGTAATTTATGAAGCAATATAAGAAAATGAACAATTGTTTTAAATACCAGAAAAGGTATATTCATAATTGTCTTGAGTAAATACATTGAAAAGGTTTCAAATAGATTACCAAGAAGATCCACAAGAAATATTTATATAAAAATAATATTCAATACAGACGTTACAGCTAATATCCAAATCTAGCTAATTCTGGAATTAGCCAGTTAATGTTCACATTATCCAAAACAAGAGAATAAATTTTGAAATACCAAGACACTGCATTGCAAGCTTTGGACTTAAGCTGGATGATAGGCACAAGATGGCTATGGTATGTAAAGTACATTACACTGACAAAAAATAGCAGTTAATGTGATGAAAGAGGTCAGATTGCTGGTGGAAATTTCTATCAATAGTGAGAGTCATGGTAACAGCTGTTTCACTGTGTTGGGTTAATTTCTAAGTGTATAACATCACCTAACCTAACCTCATTGTATACATCGGCTGATGCTTCACTATGCGTTTCCAAGTTGGTGGCAACGCGCCAGTATTTGCAAATCGCAAAAAACTACCTGAGCTTGTGCAACACAACTGCATTTTCACTCAGAAAATCATCTTACTTCAGCCAGCACCTTGCGGCTAATGCCAACATAAGACAGCTTGAAATTGATCTGTTTTATCATGATTCATACTGCATTATCCAAACTGCCAGGCTAATGTACCAATTAAACAACTCCTATGAAATTATCCAAGTTTTGGAATTTAGCTGTAACATACCCATGTGCTGTAACAAGCCCATACCAATGATCATGATATTAATGTACACAATCTATTAATCAATGAAAACGAAGGAAAGAAGCTCCCTTGCTCCTTTGTAACCACGAATACACACTAAGTTGTATATTAAACTGTTCAAAGAGAATTTTCATTTTCTAATGCAATCTATTAAAAAGAAAGAAAAACACATAAAAAACAAACCTTTTTGATGGAAGCCCTTCCCACAAACAGTGCATTTGTGTGGCTTGTGCTCGGAATGAGTTTTACGATGAGATATTAATGTAGACACCCTATTAAAAGTCTTTTTACACAATTCACATACATACGGACGAGCATCACTATGAATTGCTCGATGCTGAGACAATGTACTCATCTATAAGAAATGCACATAACACAATTAGAAAAGAACCAATAATTTAAATTGGAAACATTCATGCTAAAAAGCTTAAATATTATGCAAATATTTTTAAAAAATGAACAAAAGTTAATTCTACACATAAAACATCATCAGAATTTATCTACAACAACTACAGTGGTTTTCAGTAATACACAAAAAAAGATAACATAATCTTTGAAATTCCATTGTTTAAGAACTGTCTACTGTCAGGAATCCCTTGCTATTGTTTCTGATGACCATATTCATCAATACAGAAATAAATTCTAAAATTAGTACATACTTGTCGGAAAGCTTTTCCACACGCCTCACATTTAAAATTCCTTTCATCTGTGTGAGTGGGCAAATGTCTCATCAAAGTATATTGGTGTCGAAACTCCTTCCCACCTACATTCACAATGAAAAGAAATGATAAAACAGTTTCCTAAAGTTAATCAAAATTTTAACTAAAACAAATCCATCAATTTGTAATACTCACAAATTCCACACTCCCAAATTTTTACAGTTTTATTTTCCACTTTTACATACTTCACAAAATGCATTCGAGTGCGTGGATCACTTTTTAGAATTTGGTAATCTTCCTGTTCTGTTGCAGGGAAATATTCCACTCCATCTTCAATTACCTACATAAATTTTGCAATTAGAATGACTATATAACCCAACAAAATTTGAAACTTTGTAACACAGAAAGAACACAAACAAAACATCTCTGAGAATGGGATTATGGAATTTAATTTCAACTGTGGTGCAAATAACGAATAAATACTGAGACAAGCCTCATAATATTGATATACTAATTATCATTTCTACACATATCAAAAGAAATTTTTTTTACCTTGTATCTGATCTTATTTTGTCTCATTCGCGAGTTGGTAGTAAAGTTGGATTTTAAATGAGAATTCCCTTGCACATCACCTTCATCTGATCTTTTTCCTTGCCTCTAAAAACAACAAGGAAAATGGGGTGGATATACGAAAGAACGTATAAAGAAAGAATGACTGTTCTAAGCATAAAAATTAAATTTGAAGCACAGAATAGTAAGAAGCAACTTCTGTGAATCGGTGAATTCAAACTCTAATGAGGTGCTTTTATAAGGAAAGTTCAAATAAATACCAGAAAAAAAGATCAGGTAGCAATGTTTTCCTAATGCAAACTTTAAGATCGCAACTAAGTTTTTTTCCTTTATAGGACAATAACAGGAAGAGAGATGAACAACCGATTTTAAAATAAGATTAACACAATAATGTATGTACCTGCTGTGATGTGCTAGTTTCCACAAGTTGGTCAGTTACACGACATTTGCCGATTCCAACATTGTCTAGTTGTTCTGGAATTACATCCTCATCTTCACTATCATATTTTTCTTGTTTCACATACACTTGCTCACTGCACATAAAATTATTTTATTAGGAGACAAAAATATTTTGAGGTAGTTACATATAATCAGCAACCCAATTTCTAACTGACAATAAAGAAATATTAGAGGGCCTACAAAAACAACAAGAAATGTGAATTCTCTATGAAAATACACATATACAAATGATTTTTACTTCTTCCAGCAGTACCATGGTATAAACGGTCCTGTGCATGACCAGGGGAGGGCAGGGGTACCTCCGGAGACCATAGCTTAAATTTTGATTTTATTGAGGTTTTGTATTATTTTGCTAAGGAGATAAATTGACATAACTCATGATATACATATGAATTCACTTAAACAATAAGTATTATTTAATTTCATTCTCTGCAAATGAAAAAACACGTCTTATATTTAATGACAAAACCCAGTATATTTTTACATCAAAGGCTGATGTATCGTAATAACACAAGAATATATTATATTATATAATACCAAGACTTAAAATACTACAATTTTTTCCAAACTTTATTTTGAGTGTTCAAGTGAATATTGAATGAAATGTTCTGAATATTTTTACCTAAAGCCAATGACACTGCAATAACTTGAATTCTAACAAACACTTGTGATAAATCACAATATATTTTTAACAAAAAGCACATCTTAAAAATATCAATAATTTTTAAAATTAAATATTGATACCTATAAAAATAAAACAATATCATTGGGACTCTATGCATGTTTGCTCCCTTTCTTTGCGTGTCCCTAATTTCTAACACTAGATTTTTGTTTTAATTTGTAAAACAGAATTCAATTCAGTACCAGCAGCATACAAGCGACTTTGACAGTTCTCTCGCCATGTGCTGTGGTATGTCATGCGACCTGCTCCAAAGCAATCAGCTTGCAAGTATTTGTTTACTTTCTTACAGCCATGGTTCAGCATAGCTGCTCAGATGACTCACACGCAGTCGCGGAAGCGATAAAGTTCGTAATGTAGGTGGTGCCATGTGCATTGCATAATGTGACAACAGCTCACTAAACTTTCAGTCTCTTATAAGCTGCCAGTACTGTAGTTAAAGGAACTTAATTAAATAATACAACACAAGAACAATAACATATCACTTCCAAAATAAATACAATTGGAAGGATTAAAAACATTTTACCTCATGGTGGATTCCCTTGGCACATCTACAATTTGTTCTTCCAGCTCTTCTGATGGGTTCAAAACCAATGATATAACATGCTGAATCTTGTCCAAATCTTGCAATTTGTTAACAGCTTGAGATCCAGTTTTAAATTCCAATTGCAATACTTCTGTGTCATGCTGTGGTACTGTAACACAATAAATGAAGAGAAATATACAACAAATAATATTATGACACAATTCAGCAGTATTATACAAAGTGTATAGTTATATGTTATGAAATGTTTAAAGTTTCCAACCATCATTTACCCATCTCATCCTTTCCTTGGAAATTCAAGAAAATTATCAAAATCTCTGTTTTTCAAATGAATTAATATTCTTTAAAATGCTATTCAGTTAAATTTTTGTCTCTAAGCAAAATTGAATGTTACTTGCCAAATAAATTAACTGTGCATCATTAAGATGAAAATACATTTGATAAGTGAGAATATTTGTACAAATGGCCATCACTGTTAAAAATTTTTACCTCTAAACCGGTATTTTCTAAACACAAAATTCACAATCACACACACACTCCAATAAAGCAAAGTCTTAAAGAGTTTGATCTTCAATTACTTATGTCAAATTCTATTTCAAATGTTAGTTACAAATAATAGTAATGTCCTACTTTCTATGCTTTCGAACTGACTGTTCACAAAATAAAAGAAGAACAACAAACTATTACATAACTGTTCAAAATATGCACCGATTGCTACAGGATAAAACCAATTAAAAAAATTAGAAATAAATATTAATATAATTCACTGACTTTTGATAGTAAATTGAATTTGTATTCACTGGGCATTTGTAGAGCTTCTGATCAAGTGTGGTAAGAGTTCAACTAGAAAGAAAATAAGCAAGAAAAATTATATTACAAAATTATTAATATAAACGAATTTATTAATATATCAATTGAATCTAGCATATTTTATGGAGAACCACGATACATAGATTAACAAGTTGAAGGTACACATGTAGAACATTCATATAAATTTAATTATTTCAAATCATTTCCCCTTTTCCTCTTTAGGCTTTAGGCTTTTATTCTCTTTACATATTTATACAATCTATGACATAAAACTATAACAAATAATGCCAGATCAAAACTAACAAGGGCCCAGACGAAGTCTGAGAGAAAATTAAGATTCTATTATTCTTTCAAATGAATTTTCATATCAAATTTCATGGCATCAAATACTGTAAACTGATACATGTTAATGAAATTTTAACTGACATGCTTTTATAATTAATTATCCACTTCTGTAACAATAGTAAAAAGCAAAAAGAAAACAACAATTGATTCTCTTAAATCATATTTAAGACTAAAGAAGAAGTAGCATATCACAATCTAGAACAGTGAACACAAACAATCCAGATTTATAAATATTTTTCTGGTTTATTTACAGTTTAGATTAATTTCTACATTGAGTATTGACTTCAAGAGACTCTTCATACAAATAATCCTAAAACACAGAAGTATTTTGAGTATTACAGTTAGTAAGTTCATACAGTTCATAAGTGATGGACCATAGTACTGGAAATTATAAATGTTTCTGCACAAATTAATAAAGAGGTCGTTGGAAACTTCTTCAGAAATGTGTACAGGAGAAGTAATGGAAGAAGTGTCAACAGATAGGTAAATGCAATTTCGTGAAATTGTAATGAACCTACCACAGAAATAACCAATGCAAGCTTAGGGAATGGTGAAAAAAAACTGAACTGTAACATGACTTTTCGCATGATTATTACAATGCCCATTAATCCACTTTTTCACACACAAGCGTAGTTACAATAAAATAATATAATAACCACACATTTTTAACTATGGGAAACAAAAAAGTAATTTGAAACAGCTAAAAAGCGACGACACCATTCACACGCAAGATGGATACAGATGCATCATTAACACACGATAAACACACACCTTCTTTCTTTTAAAGCTATCACTTCCTATAAAATAGGCGCGCTCCACGTTAATACGAATGGGTACACTATCACAGTTAAATTTATTGAAATTACGAAACAAAAGACTGACGCCATAGTGAGATCGTCTTCTGCTCTTCGGCTCTATAAACACAAGACGAACGGAGTTCGTTTCTTTTTCATGCCGCATGGCACGCGTAAAATTACGCCATTTATCAGTTTTGTTTTTACTGCTTACCTTTTCCTACTCTAACCGTTCCATGAGTGCTCATACTCTGGTAAAAGTTCTGTTCGCCTCTAAGCAGGCTAAAAGTAATATCCAATATCCCCCCGTGAATCTACAGCAGCTACGGATCTGATTTTCAACATGCGCAAAAGCCTCAGGATGCGTTTGCGCATGAGCGGGAATGTCACGAATTTGAAAGAAAACATTGGTTAACCATTACATTCATTTACACTCGTCCGCAAAACAATTAGCCACTTGCCCTACTTTTTTTAAGTTATTCAATTTTAAACATGTGTGATGCTACAACAAAATGTAAAAAATACTAAAATCACCATTATTTTTTCTCATATTGAGATAAGGGTGCAGATCCCCAAAACAAAGAATAGTATAGTTATAATTTTAATTGTGAATTCGAATCATCTAATTCCCAGTTGCATGCTTACCGCGGAACTGAACAACCATGAACGAAATATGAGCTAAATTGCAAGTGTAATATTTAAATCATCGAGACAAAAACGTGGGAAAAAACAATCCATAAATATTTCTTTATTTATTTTCCTTACGGGGTCCTTAGTCCATTATACGTTTACTTAATATCATTTGGATGGATTGTAAATCTAATAACAAATACTAACGTCGCAGTACATTTTGTTGTAAAAATAGTATTTTTACACAAACACATATTAACGCGTGTTGCAATTGCCGGCGTTGTTAGCCGAATTGCTTAACTCCTCCATGAAGTCGGGGAAGGTAAGAATACAGCAAAATGAACTGTGTGTCATTTTTAACAGTGCAATAAGCAGTATTTGCTGAAAAAAATGAAAAAAAATGGAGCCATTTTTAACAGAAAACTATTGAGTTATCGAGAAACTTTATATGACATTATTTAAAGCACGTGTACTCATTAATATAATAATGTGAATAAATTGCCGCTAATGTAAATGTTAACGACATGAGAGACAAGTAAAAAATTAAGTTTTTGTAATTTGTGCAAACAAAAATAGAGTCTATTTCCTTTATGTCATCCCATAGAGTACGTACGTTAGGCACTAGCCCTATCAAAAATTTGAAGAAAAAGTTTTGAGCCGTTTTTGACACAATCTTGTTTTGTTATTTTTTTTAATTTCACAAACAGCACGAAATATTGCGCGATAATAACTAAAATATTCAGAAAAAAGTACACGACCTTAATTAATGGACAAATTATGAACAACAAATTTTACTTGAAAGAAAAATCTCTATCTTTAGAGTTAACAGTTGTACCTATGCCACCTTTATAAGAGTATTTTACTCTATTCGTACAAGAAATTTAGAGAAAAGGTTCAGAATGTTTTTTTAAATGAAGTTTCATGTAAGTACCCCCAAATTTTGAAGAAAGTTTTTCAAAATCGCAAGGCCTCGAGTCGAGCCAGATCAATCGAAGAATATCCATTTTGGAGACAGCCTACGTATGGTTTAGGGGCTAGTGGTGTTCACGCACCGACAGACAGTTTTTTGAAAAAAACATCACTTTTTCGGTATCAGAGTATCTCAAAATATGCGAAACCTCAAAATCGATTTTACTCGATCTATACTACGTATATTACTCCGTACCCAAACCATAATACATATGTACCCAATAAAAAGTAATAAATTATATAAAACCGTAAGTATACGACAAAGTAACTAGTGGTGCTACAAATGGCACAGACTTTCTCGTAGCAAAAGTTTCTAATTACCTTGGTGTGGGCAAGCTTTACGGTCTTGCCCCCGTCCTCTTGGCGGCTGCAATCTATCGCCGCCCTAAACACATTTTTATGTTATTATTTTTTTATTTTCTCAATTTTTCGGTTTCCTAATGATAAATTTGAAATATTACTTTTAAAATATTAAAGAAGAGTAAAACCTCGCACTACATGAAAATTTTCATTGAAAAATTTCGAGCCGTTTTTACGAAAAAGTCGTTTAAGCTTTAGTGTAAATACTAAATTTGGAGCTCTTTTTTACAGGAATCTTTTGTGTATTCGAAAAACTTCATTTGAAGACATTTGAGGAACATTCTCTTCCAAATGCAATAATGTATACAAATCGTTGGAAATGTCACAAACGTCATGAAACATTAACGGCGTGAGAGACATTTAAAAAAATTACATTAGTGTAATTTTTGAAAAAACAAAAGAATAGAGCAAATTCACGTGAATGTCATCTCATAGAGTACATTTCGCACTATCCCCACCAAATGTTTAGAAAAATTGTGGGGCCGTTTCCGAGAAAATCTTGTTATTTTTTACTTTCTTGTACACGTACGTATATACGTAGTACAGGGTAACGTATGTAATGCTGCGGAAAATTGATTTCGAAATGTCAACGGAATTACACGTTTTGGAGTCTCCAGATACCGAAAATGTGTTTTTTTCATAATATCCGCCCGTCTGTATGCCCGTCTAGTGTCTGTGAACGCTGCTAGAACCTTAACCAAGCATAGGATTTTTTCCAAATTGAAGAAACCCCTGTTCATCTGCCTTCACTCAAAACTTTGGGATTTTGAAAAACATTCTTCAAAATTTGGGGGTAATTTACATGAAGCCCTCCGGACATTTTCAAAATTTTCTCAAAACCGGCTCCAATTTTTTTCTTTAAATTTCTTGTAAGAGTATAGTAACATATATTATTATTATTATTATTATTATTATTATGGCGTATAGCCATTAAGACCACGCTACCACGATTAAACGAGTTGTAAATTCTTCCAGGATCAGCTTTTCAGCCGTATCCTTCGATTACAACGCCTTGCAGTGCGAATTATGAGATGAAAGGATGATGATGATAGGTAAAGAGACAATCACAAATACGACCATGTCTACTCAGGACTCGAACCTGCAGCCTCCTCGGCACAAACGACGGCTGCCGCAACCGTCTGCGCCACGGGGCCGACTTTATTATTATTATTTACATTATTCACAGAATGTACTGGTCGATATGTCAACCACACACAGGAATGATGACCAGGTGTGGTTGTTTTATTGAAGGTTCAGATGGCTTCTGACAATACGGCATGTATTCAAAATTACCGACTTTTGCAAGTTTAGAAAAATGTTCAGTACATAAATGAAAGATCTAAATATGGAAAAAAAATTTCATTTGAAGGAAAAACTCTATCTTTCATTATGTACTGTAGTTGTAAGGAGACGCTGAAAAATTCAAACTATGCCACCTTTATAAGTATATTTTACTATATTCTTACTAGAAATTTAAAGAAAAAATTTAGAGCCATTTTTGAGAAAATTTTGAAAATGTCCAAGGGGTTCCACCAAATTTTAAAGAACGTTTTTTTTAAACCTCAAAGCTTCGACTCGAGCCAGATTGACAGGGTTTTCTTCAATTTGGAAAGAATCATATATATGGTTTAGGCGCTAGTGGTATTCACAGACGGACGGACGTGTGGACGTCAATTGGTTTTTCGGTATCAAGGACCCACAAAACAGGGATTCTGGATACATCATGTGTTAGAGGAGTTTTTCTTACTTTAGCAACTGGATTTATCCACTTTTTCGTTATCAGGACCAAGCAATAAATTTTTTTTCTGCCGACAATCCACCGTTTTTTCGCGCAGCGTTACATAACTTTCTCTATACTGCGTATATTATTCTGCATATACGTACGTATACGAGAAAGTAAAATGCAATTATTTACTATTACGTTTCGAGACAACACAAAATTTAATGGTGGATAACCCCATAATATGTATACATATGTTCAATGCCCAAAAGATTGGTAAGAGACGTTGCGAAAAAGGCGCATCAAATGTTTAAAAAATCGGATTCTCTGTTCTGAAAGACGAACGAGTAATATAGATTTATATTCTCTTATCTTCAAAAACATTATCTTCAAAATTTCATTACAAGAAAAACTTAAAATTTTGAGTATTGATACTAACGATGGGAAATATACATAATGTGAAGTAAATTAGTTGAAACTGTCGAAAAAATCCAAAGTAGTGCATTAATTGTTATATGAAATTCAATAATATACACCTGTCTTTTCCCCGCCACCCCTCGCGCCCCTATTTTGGCGACTGACTGTTCCTAAGACTCAGCCGTTTACCGTCTGCTAATCCATTTTCAAACCATGTTCCACCGTTTGTTGTGTACACCATTATGTGTATAGTCCAGTAAATCACAATACTGATCACTTTCAAAATGGCATCCGTTGTCGAATGTCCCGTCAGGAAGCCTTATTGTCTGGGAGATAAATTTACCCCTAGATGCTCTATGAGTCTTGCGAGAATTAGATCCTCAAGTAGTTTGCGCATGGTATCCAAAAGGCAAAGCGACCTGAAAGAGGAAGTCTGATTTACGGGATTATTACCCTTCCGGAGAAGAACCAGTTTCTGTTTCTTCCACCGCGCGGGGAATGTTCCATTCTGAACACATACAAACAAGCATTCCGGGAACTGCTCAATCACGAGTTTCAGGATCTGTTCGTTCGGAATATCGTAAAAAAACCGACCCATTCCCACATTTCATGGTCGCCGTGTTATTCCACAGTTCTTCCAGTGTAAACATATATTTTTCCGTCAAAAGAAAAGCCGCTCGGGCTTTGTTTTTCCCGAAGATCTATTGTAAGGAAGACATCGCTTATTATTTTCTTCGCCCAGCGTGGGTCGTCTCGCTCAGGTGTCTCACAGTCTGCCATTAATTTCTTTGTAAGCCATGCCCAAGGGGTGTTTTCAGCATCATCTATAAGTTTCTTCCATCTTTTTTGCTTCTTTAAATCTCTCTTGCGCAGTTTTCGAGACTTATTATACTGATATCTAAGGGAGGGATTTGTCCTGGCTCTCGTCACAAATCTTCCCGCCTTGATGCAGTTTTTGCGGAGATCCGCAATTTCAGGTGCCCATCTGTAGACATGAAGCTTGCGTCTGGGCATCGAGGCATCACACGCTGCTACCACTCTATCTTTCCTTTTTTTCACTAGCTATTTCCTCGAGGGATTCCGCGCCAATCCTCTTCATCAGCCTAGATTCCTCCTGGAACTTCTTGGCCATGTCTACAATTAACGTATTTACATTACAGGTTGCCCTGTCTTTGTTACATCTGTTCACTTGAGAATGATTACCCTGATTGTACGTGTAGCGACGGAAAATTGAATGTACAGATGGTCA